CATAATACTGTGTATTTATAAATCATTTTTTATAAATGTTAGTGTAAATGTATTAGTTATTAGTACATCTTTTAACTTTCTCTGTATAATCCACATTTGTATAGCAAAAACTTATATCTAAATGTTGTTCATAATATCTTTGATGAATTGATCAAAAATATGTATAAGAATTGATTACAAGTAATTTATTATAATAGTTATTGTTACTTTCAAACATATTAAACAATTTCATCAGTTCTAACACAACACCATAGCTTCATTTTCAAAAACAGAAAATAATTTTACAGCTCTTAAACATATAAGTTAAATGATTAAAAGACCTCCCACACAAGTAGATAAAAAATATTTTTTATTTTACTATTGCATTATTATATGTGTACATAATAAACGACTCAAGAATATTTTATTCGGATTATATTGCATTATTTCTAAATGTGGAACTTATAAGGAATGATCCATGCGTAGTCATTTTTATAATTTGCATCCTATCTTTATGAAAATTGTACAAGTGGATTGGTGAGGGTCTCCTGATGAAAATGAGTTCATACACGACATAAATCGGACTAGTGTTAAAAAAAGTAATCACTTTTAAAAGCATCCTTGAAAATCCAGCATATTTAAATTGATGACTGATAGAATTACTCTGACTTATGTTGTATTTGGACTGATTTTCATCAGGAGAATCTCACCAATCCATTAATATTATTTTCATAAAGATAGGATAAAAAATAAAGAAATTAAAATGTTTTATACTAGTCTAGTGCCCGGACTTAACCGTGGCTGTTTGGCGCATTACATTCATCTCGCTTACTTTCGTTTTGTCTATTCTCTTTCCTTGTCAATCGCGGTCATAATCCCTGATTGTTTTTAACTACCGAGTTTTCCTCACGTTCTGTGATTGCAACGTAACATTTTTCAAACAATAATCGATGCTAAAATTTCAAATGTCGATTTCACAGTTTAACTTTTTGAGGTTATCAACAAATCCTGTGAGTTTGAAAAAAATCAGAGTGAGTTTTCCGCTCATTTGCACAGGCATGCGCGATAGAACCTTTTGCTTTGCATAATTTACCTAAATATACGTGGACGATTTTGCAGTACCGAAAAACAATTGATGGACAATTAATGAACAAGAGAATAACGCTTGAGCTTTCTAGGTACTTCCGAATAGTTAGGCGCGCAGTAGCGTGCGCATATAGAGTACGTTGGTCATTTTAACATACAAATTACAATTTAACGTTATGCTAAGGTCGTTATCCAATGTTACAATAGGTACGAGCTGTATTTAAATATAAAGTAAAATTGCGAATATGGTTACATTTAGTTAACTATGAATATGTACGTGCGTAAGTGCTCTGCAATTAAGAAGAGTAGATTTATATGAATAGCGTAGTGTGGATCTAATGGCTGGTTTACATGAATCGCGGAGCGTGGATGTTCCAATAGTGTTGAATGGATATTTAGAGAATTTGAACAGGATTGCCGCCCGTGAAGCACAAAAGCACTCTGCTCGTATATAGTTGTAAAATATGTTTAAAATGAATAAGAAATGTTAGTTCTTTTATAGAACAATAAATAAACTTAATAACAATAAGAACGTAATAATAATAGCAATTTAGTAACGATATATTTTAATGTTTTACTATTTCCTTTTATTGCAAAATATCGGGCCTAGACTCTTTGAGCGGAATGAAAGGAATAAAAATATTCAAGCCTCGTCGATATTCATTATTTAATGTTAACATGTTTTTATAAAATAATAAATTCCAATTAAATTCATGATTCTATGTACAGTATGTGCGGTTTACATGTATACACGCGATTATTTCGAAACATTTTTTTGTATTTTTAATATTTAGGGAAATAATCACGTGTATACATTTAAACCGGACATACTGTATATAAAATTATCCAAGGATAAATTTGATTGGTACCCCTCATTTGTTTCTTTTAAAGAGAGTGTTTTACATCTCAGCAATCTTTCTTTGCATAGCAACGAGGATAAACATTTATTTAAACCAGCAGTTGCAATTAGCAATCAATGACATTTTATGATATAATATAGTATTGAATTTCTTTGTTCATTGCTTCGGCCACACCACTGTACAATTTATATTCAACGCGTGTTAGAATTCACATTATGAGGAGCCGCATAATAAGATACATAACAATGTGGAACAATCTTATCTACGAGCAGATTGCTTTAGCGTTTCACGGGCGACAAATCCATCAAATTCCCCATGTATCCACGCAGCAACATAATAATAGAGTTAGTTCATGATAACCGCGCCTTCTTATTTCATATTTTTTTTCACCGTTGGTGACACTGCTATTCGCTAACTATAGCGCAACAATTTTAAACTGCTTTTCGTTGAACGTTTCCACGAAACGGTTAGTAAGAAATTAGGTTTAATCGCGACATTAGGTTTATTCATGTAAAATAATGTCAACTTTTTAGAACAATATAGAAGGTAAACATTTAGTTTCGAAGATACAGACAAGGATCGTAAACAAGGAACCATACAAAAAGGAAGATACTAAGAAACATGAAGAAACCCGTAAAATTGTTTAATAAAAATAGAATCATATCAAATTCTGGGGAAAGCACATCACAGAACAGTGGTTTGTATAAAACGGTGCTCATGTTTGATATATTATCTCATTGATATACTATCACATTATTATTAACAATTTAATTTCAGGAGAGCAATTAGCCCCTGTAGTAGAAGATCATATGACTAGGTTTTTAAAATGGAAAGTTGAACGCGAAAAATGCAGAAAGATTGAACAATATAAAAGAAAGCCACCCTTTGTAATTGGAGTTGTTCATCACAAATTTTATTCTCCAATTGTGATACGTGGAAAGGCACATAATCAAGCTGCACCCATGCATTTGGTTTCTCCTAAAAAAAGAGTTACAAAAGCAACAGAGAAAAGATTAATGAATGAAGCACTTACACAGAAAGTAACAAAGGGTTCTCTTAAAAATCCAAATGTTATAAATAAACAAAAAAAGTGTCAGAAAGAGGATGAACAGTCTGTTGCTCTTATTGATCGCAAATTCAGAGCTTCAGGTAGGTTGCTTCATGTACCTTTATTTGGTAGAGTAGTCATACAAAATACACCTGTTAAAACAAACAAGCTTAAGTTTTCCTCCTCAAGAAAGTCAAGGGTAAATAGAAAAAGTAACATTGCAATATTTAATGTAAAACCAGTTAATATTAAGGAGAATGATACATCACTTAATGACAAAAAAAGTCATACTGATGATTCAGAAGAAACATTCAATTTTTCTAATAATAATAGTAATAATAATGACAACAAGATAAAATCTGGTGATGAAAATGTAGTACATAATAGTGGAGAACATACTGGTGAAGAACATAATAGTGAAAAACATAGTTATGAGGAACAAAATAGTGAAAAACATAGTAATGAAGAACATAATAGTGGAGAACATAGTACTGAAAAATATAATGAAGAAGGGCACAGTTACACTAAGAAAGTACTTTCTTCCTCAAAAAATATCATATCTGCATCATTAAAATCTGATTCTCCAGAGAAACTAGTTTTCTTTTCACCTTACATAGTTTCTAGTTGTGGAAAAAGCAATGCTAGGAAAGAACAATTAAAATGTGGTTTCAGTCTTGATCATTCATCAAGTGATGTCACTCCTACAAAACATACTGTCATGAAAAATTTAAATATTTCAGTTGAAGAAGGGGATCATACTGCACAATATTTTCAATTTTTTTTAAACAAAGAAATAACCAGATTAAATGAATTATGTAAAACATGGGCAGAAATTAAAATAAAATCTGAAACTACAGAGGATGGGCAGTATGAAATAAATCAAGCTATTGGCCAAACAAATTTATTATTAAACAAAAAGTTCGAAAGATGCCGTGAATTAGTTGCTGATTGTGAGACAGGAAAAGGAAAAATGTTAGTTACATGTAAAGATTTGCAAGGATTATGGGATATGTTGTATATGGACATAATGAACTGTGATTCACGATTTGAAAAATTACAAAAACTTCGTTCACGAGGCTGGAAGGAAGAACTACCTGTTGACAAACCCATCACTAAAAATAGATCTATTGTAAGAAAGAATGTTTTATCTACAAAATCAAGTTTTATTAGAGTTTTCTTGGCAGAGAAGAAAGAAAAAATGGCACAAGAAATGAGAAATAACGACGATACGAAGGAAGTTGAAGTTAGAGATAATCGAATTCTGAGTAATAAATACGAAACAAATGAAAGCTCTAATATAAAATATAAAATAAGGGAATCTATGTGTAGTACTCCCAATGAAAAAGATTATGCACCTATTGGACATGATAAAAGATTAAGTCTATTGAAAAAGGTACATTTGTCTGAAACATCAAAGAAGGTAAAGAGTCTATTAACCATAATAAAAGTAAGTCAAATGTATAAAACATCAAAGGTACACTTGGATGATACAATATCTTGTGTTAATTCTGATCAAACACCAGAAAAAAGTATATTGAAGCCAACAAAGAGTATAACTATACTAGAATCTCGTATAAAGTTAATAAATAAAGTTAATTTTAATGATCGTGTAGTTTTAAATGAGGTACCAATGGATGAAGAAATGCAGACAAAAATGGATTTGGCAGTAATATTATCAAAAACAGATAGTTTTAACTTGGACAGCCCTGATGAAATAACAATTAATGCAGAAAGAAAACTTGCTTTTGATGATAATAGTTCTGAAGAATCTGAAATAGATATCAGATATTTTAAATCGAAAAATTCTACAATTAAAAATATTAGTCCAACTATACAAGTACCACCTACAACACAGTTACTAAGACCAGAATTGGATAAAAATCTTGGTATACCATTACCAAGGAGAAGTTTAAGAAGACAAAATGCACTTGTTGAAAGGAATGAGATTTTGTATAAAACTTCACCATTAGAAGAAATTACAGATGATACAAATTTAAATACATTAAAAAAAAAATTACAAAAGCATGTTTCTATAAATGACAAACAAGAAATAAGTGAACATGATGAAAGTATAGAAGTTTTAAAAAATATAACTGTTACAGCACTTTGTACACCTATAGTTAAAAGAAAATCCTTAAAAAAAGTGTTTACTAGTATTCAAGAATCAGAATTTAAAGAAAATAAAACTCCTTTAGAGAGGAGGAAAAAAAATTCTCTGAAAGTTAGCTCTAATGATAAGGAAAAAATGGATTTACACACTTGGATTGATAACATGTCTTTAGAAGAAAGTAACACCAAGAGAAGATCCATTAAAAATGTCAAATTTTTTGGTATGGATAGTTGTTAATAAACTAATATTTTATTTTCTCTAAATGCAATATTTGAATGAGTACATGTTGTTGCAGAAAGAGTATGTAGTCTTTGTGAAACAAGCAAACCAGTATTACCCATGACTCCTCATGTTCGAAGAAGTAGGGCGCAGTCTAGCGATAGAAAGAGGAATGTAGTCACAGAAAATCTTATTTCATGGGAAACACCAGAAAAACGTAATTATTTAATTTCTTTCTTATTTTTATTCCTATAAGTCTAACCATGTTATGTTTGCATATGGTTATAATTTGATTTCAGCACCACAGCGGATTCGAAGGTCGCAAAATAAAAAGGTACGATCACTGATTGCACCTTTTAATTAGAGAATAAGATGAACAATAAGAAAAATATTTTTTATTTAACAATTTTTCTTCAACAAATACAAGTGTGTTAGAAATGGCTTCCATTTTTATATCAAACGTAGTTGTGTTCTACATATTACACTTATACGAAAGTATTAAATGAATAGTTAGTATCGATTTACTTGAGAAATTTTGCACGAAGCTTCGAAGAAAGGTTACGTCTTTGTCTTTACATAGAATCATTTCCTCTTGGATTTTATCATCAATTCAGCGTGACACCCCGGATATTACGGTGTACCTTTAACAATTGTAACGGCTCCAAGTTACACGAGTCTCGCTTCGAAAGTAATTTAATTTTATTTGCTTTAGGAAACACACCCAACAAAGATTAAGAAATCCAAGACAAAATATGAGAATAAAGAACATCGTTCGCTGTTATGGACTACTTTCGGGTATATATGTAAAACACCGTCGTTAATTTTCATTTTCTTTCATACAGTGTGGTACATAAAAAACGAATGCATCGTGCCATTATTATTGAAGCCTTTCCGAATTCCGATTTTCGTTCTGAGAAAGGTTTTACCATTGAACGGTAATAAAAAGTTACTCTAGGATATAGAAAAACATATAGACGTCGCTAAACATTAATTCACGTAATTAAAGACTAAAGAGAATTACTCGAATAAGTACTTTACGCAATGCGTCATCGTTAGGTATCTATTTATAATCTACACGACTAAGTAAACCTTTTTTTTTTCTTTTTAATTTCGTTTTACCAAACGACTGAAAAACTCATCGAAAAGTTTCGTCAAATTTTTCCATTAAAAACGCATCACGTTGTTAATTATAATTAGAGATATCATGCAAGAGCTTCGAATAATTTTGTCCTTGTTAGATAAAGATCAAAACCTGTATCGTATTGATGCTTATATCAACAATTGCTTCAAAGATACACGTTTTATTTTTACTTTGTAGTTCTTTTAGTTCGTATTTTATGGGTACTTGAAGCTTAGACTGTTCATAATCTTATACCATAGAAAAGATGAATAAATTATATTGGGAAAAAAAAATAATTGAAAGGTATACATGTATGTATGTGAAGATTTAGATGCGCAAAGAGAGAGAGACGGTTCTTCCCGCTAAATAATCGTTATTCTATATTTCCACGCTCTTCATACACACACTCGCACGCAGTCACATCTCCAGCGACTCTACCCTAAACTTTCCCGGCACGCACGTCGTCTCTATTTTACGAAAACTTCATTAAATGATGCGTTAACCATTTTCATCTATGATTGTTTGCCATCTTATAGGTAGCTTTGCAATACCATCATTCCAAAATTTGCCATCTTCTTCAGCAAAAAATCTTGAAATATGCATTTCGTTGGTCTCTAGAGAATCATAATTTTTCTTAACCTAACTGTTGCCAAGTTACAACTAGTGACTATAGGAACTTTATTACTACACTGGTAGAGTGCCGCTATATAAGGAATCCACATAGAGTTCTGGTAGAAAAGTATCAATTTTTAATAGAAGTCCAAAGACGTTCCGCTTACCGATGAAAGAATAGCGTTCCCGCGACTTGCATGTCATTACAGGAAGAATTCAAAATGTCGTGACAGGAGGAATTGAAAATGGCGGGCGAGTTTAATAGTTTCCAGAATCCAACGTCAGAGGGAGAAATACTGCAAGATCAACGAAACCATTAATGGAAATAGTACACGTACCAAGGCAGAGATAAGTGGTAAGAAAGCGTTTTTCGTCACCCCCTAATAATTTTTACGAAGCGGAAACATTTTCCTCTGGCTTCTCCGACCCAAATAAGTAATAAGGCAACGCAAGCCAAAGAAGGGCCTGGCTCACCAGAATACAGATATTTATTTAGCGATATATTGTGCATTCTTAACCTTTAAAGGACCGGAATTTTTTCATTGAAATTAAAGTTTTTTAATGTAAAATTCATACATATAAATAACCTACATGTTCTGCCAAGTTTATTCATGGCCACTATTGTGGTCAAGCCGGCCCTCTAAAGGTTAAGCGAGCAGCCGAGGATAAAGATGAAGGACTGCATTTGTGAGACGATTCCACAAGTCGAGTGCTTTTCAAACACAATCCCCGATGTTAGTTTCAGAAGACGTTCTTAGTGAAACCGGAGATGATAATGATGATGAGAGATCTTCATTCTATATTGTATATTAACTAGTATAATCTTTTCATGTGGATGTGCGTGGGTAACAAAGGTATACAACATTAATATATATTGTCGATATCTATACGAGATTAACGAGTAAGACTAATCGCGTCGTCCCTCAAAAATTTGTTTTCTCTTAGAAATTGTAGTCGTGATGAGAAATAAAATTATTTATGTGCCATTTACTACGTCGAATTACAATCATCAACATATGAGTAATAGCATATACAGTATATTAGCTTCTATATTTCATAGCTATAAATTACTAAATTGTGATCATCTCATACCGAGTAAATAAAATCTTTATTGTAGTAAATTCAGTTGCAGTAACGTATAACTCCTTTATCTACAATATTCTGTAAAAAGCCACATTTTTCTTTTATTTATTGAACGTTTGTTACGCTATACAAACTCTGAATAACTAGTATATATTCTTTACATTTTAATTTCAATAGAACACATTATTTTTTCCGTTTCAAAAACTTCATTGACAACAAAATATTAAAAATTCCTAAATGCTTATTGTTTTATTTGACTATATTAAATGTACAAGAAGCATTCTTGTGTCCATCATTTATAATTACATTCAATTCATTTGTTATTATGTCGATTTCGTTCAATTATTGAGGCGTACTGTATGTATATAAATCAAAATTAAAATATGTGATGTTTTATAGATACAAATTCCACTGAGAACTCATTTCTCAATGTATTATGTACTTGTCTTTTAATCTCTTGATTCCTTCCCGATTTCCCATTTTTATTTTGTTTTAGAAATATTTGGAATAAAATTCTCTGCCATTATATGTGACAAATTCTGAATAAAATTCATACATATTTAATTAAGAATCATCGAACAATGCACGATGCACTGCACCTAAACTTGGCTGTACATAACTTGAACTAACGCTTCTTCTGGATCTACAAAAACACAAAAATAAAAAGGTTTATTTTTAATTCATTTTTGACAATTATAAAAAATATTACTATAATATGAATAATGAAATATGATGTTTATTCATAATCAAAAAATATCGCGCTTACTCTGTGAGAGACCTAACAGCTGGACCTGTTGGATTATTTTTTGGTCGTGGATTCACAAGAAGACACTTCATTGGATGACCATCTAACTGTCTATTATGATAAGTTTCAACAGCTTTAGTAGCATCCTTTAATGTCTTATAAATTACTTCCGCTGTACCGGGTCGTACTAATCGGGATACTAATAATTCTCCTACATCTTCAAATAGTTCCTGAAATATACAAGTGCTAACTCTTGCTACAGCTAATGAATACACTTAATATTCTTGGACTTTTACCTTGATATCTTCTTGAGTCACATTTGCTTGTAAGTTTGATACTACAATTCGATAACCAGTAGATTGTGACGAGGAACTGGAACTTGTTTTAGACCGAGATAAAACACCCATAGTTCGAGATTTATTTGAAACTGAATCTAATCTTGACTTTACTCCAACGTCTCTGTGACTCCTTGAGTCGTAATACTTTGAATCTACTGGATCTTCTGCTAATATAGTCCTACAAAATAGCGTTTAATTAAATAATATACATAACAAATTTAAGTCAATATAATTTAGTAACTGAAAACATTAATACAAATGTATACCGTGATTTTGTGCCAAAACTCCAATCTTCTTTGTATGGGGGACAAGTAGATTTTGCCTAAAAACAGTAAATATAAATAAAATGAAAGCTGAAAATTAAGTGATTAACGTGATAAACTGCATGCAATAATATTTACCATTGAAGAACGTGCAATAACTTTGTAATCTCTTCCTCTTTCACGTTCTCTATCAACTTCTGGCTTACGGGAGGGTACCATTCTTGTTACATTAGTTGTTGTTGGTTTTACCCATGTGTATGAAGATGCAGGCTTAATACTGAATACAGGAGGTGGGGGAGGTGGTGTGGGAGCATATTCATTACTTACTGTCCTTCTTAAAGGTGCTGTTTCCATCATGTATTCTAGAACAAACAAAAGTAGTAAATAATTTTGTAAACTATCAGTTATTGTACTAAATAGTTACACTGATATTATCTTTACCATCAGAATAATCCATGTTCATGTCTCCCATATAATGAGATTCTGCAAGTGGAGGTGGCCTATAACCCACTGACCTCATAGGTGGAGGCATATAATTATTTGGAATATTTGGTGTTATAGTATGAGGCATAATTGGAGGCATTTTATTAGTTGATAGGGACAGTCTTCCATTGCGACCAGTTTTTCGAGATATTCCAGGTATTTGTGGTTCTATCTTTTTTAATTGGGATGCACGAATTTTATCTAATTTTAATCTAGCATCACTTTGTTTGGCAATTTCAGCAAGTTTATCTCTTGCATCTGTAAGCTTCTCTCGATTTTTTTGTATAATCTTAAATCGTGCATCAGTGATTACTTGTGAACCTCGACCTCTTAATGAACCATTAGCACGTGCACCCCTATTAATTCCTCTTCGAACACTATACAAAAAGGGATAAAAAAAATTATAACTACATGTAATCTTACATGTATGATATACTCATTCTAATTTACTTCTAAAAATAAATGTTTTTATCTAATATAATGCTATACTGAAATACTATTAATCATACAAATTAGAGTTAGACCACAATGTAACAAATATTAAGTCACAATTTTGAAAAAATCATTCATAATAAAACTTTTAACTTTTGAAACATTCATAACAGCTTTTTACATTATAAAAAGAAGCGTTTATTTTACAACTATTTTCACTAATCTCAGGTTATGAGACAAATTTTCCGAAATAGTACAATAACAAAATAATTTAAAAAGAAACATTGAAAATGAAGCAAAATACTCTAAAACTATTTTCTGGTGATATTTAAAAGGAAATTTGCTTTTTAATAACTGCAGACTCATTTCTTTAAGGTTATAAGGAAATCAATAGCACAATAATTACTATAGAGATACATTTGCTACTAATTTCTTAAAATTATCTTACCCTCCACCTCTGCTTCTCATTCCTGATGATTTTGATTTTTTAATTATGTCATCTAAACTTAGACCTACATCAGCCATACCGTAACCATCCAACTGTCCGAAACAGACGCGAATCATAAAACTGAAATTACAAGCTGCTTCACACGTAGAGGCAGATTCTCGTGTAACTATTACATTTAGCGTTTGCAATGCCAACTTACTTTCCTTGCACACTTCCACTTGACCACTGTTTAGTCAAATTGAACTCACAGTCAGGTGTAATATTTTTCATTAATTATATTTATTAAATAAAAAATTTACCTGTGACGTCCACGCTCTACGACTCATACGAATCAGCCATAAGACTCTGCGATTCTCATGTGAATCCACCCCTTTAATTTCAGTAACCACTTGACTATCGTACGAAGAAGGTTGGAGTTTTGGCACAAAATCACGGTATACATTTGTATTAATGTTTTCAGTTACTAAATTATATTGACTTAAATTTATTATGTATATTATTTAATTAAATGCTATTTTGTAGGACTATATTAGCAGAAGATCCAGTAGTTTCAAAGTATTACGACTCAAGGAGTCACAGAGACGTTCGAGTAAAGTCAAGATTAGATTCAGTTTCAAATAAATCTCGAACTATGGGTGTTTTATCTCGGTCTAAAACAAGTTCCAGTTCCTCGTCACAATCTACTGGTTATCGAATTGTAGTATCAAGGTAAAAGTCCAAGAATATTAAGTGTATTCATTAGCTGCAGCAAGAGTTAGCACTTGTATATTTCAGGAACTATTTAAAGATGTAGGAGAATTATTAGCGGAAGTAATTTATAAGACATTAAAGGATGCTACTAAAGCTGTTAAAACTTATCATAATAGACAGTTAGATGGTCATCCAATGAAGTGTCTTCTTGTGAATCCACGACCAAAAAATAATCCAACAGGTCCAGCTGTTAGGTCTCTCACAGAGTAAGCGCGATATTTTTTGATTATGAATAAACATCATATTTCATTATTCATATTATAGTAATATTTTTTATAATTGTCAAAAATGAATTAAAAATAAACCTTTTTATTTTTGTGTTTTTGTAGATCCAGAAGAAGCGTTAGTTCAAGTTATGTACAGCCAAGTTTAGGTGCAGTGCATCGTGCATTGTTCGATGATTCTTAATTAAATATGTATGAATTTTATTCAGAATTTGTCACATATAATGGCAGAGAATTTTATTCCAAATATTTCTAAAACAAAATAAAAATGGGAAATCGGGAAGGAATCAAGAGATTAAAAGACAAGTACATAATACATTGAGAAATGAGTTCTCAGTGGAATTTGTATCTATAAAACATCACATATTTTAATTTTGATTTATATACATACAGTACGCCTCAATAATTGAACGAAATCGACATAATAACAAATGAATTGAATGTAATTATAAATGATGGACACAAGAATGCTTCTTGTACATTTAATATAGTCAAATAAAACAATAAGCATTTAGGAATTTTTAATATTTTGTTGTCAATGAAGTTTTTGAAACGGAAAAAATAATGTGTTCTATTGAAATTGAAATGTAAAGAATATATACTGGTTATTCAGAGTTTGTATAGCGTAACAAACGTTCATAACGTTCAATAAATAAAAGAAAAATGTGGTTTTTTACAGGACATTGTAGATAAAGGAGTTATACGTTACTGCAACTGAATTTACTGCAATAAAGATTTTATTTACTCGATATAAGATGATCACAATATAGTAATTTATAGCTATGAAATATAGAAGTTAATATACTGTATATGCTATTACTTATATGCACTGAGTCCTTTTGGGGGAATAGGTATTACGTTATTAAAGGAAGTTCGAGACAGTATGGAATAGTTGATGATTGCAATTCGACGTAGTAAATGGCACATAAATAATTTTATTTCTCATCACGACTACATTTTCTAAGAGAAAACAAATTCTCGAGGGACAACTCGATTTGTCTTCCTCGTTAATCTTGTGTAGATATCATCGACAATATATATTAACGTTGTATACCTTTGTTACCCACGCACATCCACATGAAAAAATGATATACAGTTAAGATACAAAATAGAATAAAAAACTTTATGTCAAATAGTTTAGTACCTAGTACAGACGCTACGCACAGTCGCTTTCCGTAGATATTTACAAAATGTGTTTAATTAGCACTGATTACCAATACTGAATCTTACTTTTGAAATAATTTAATCTTGTTCTGTTTATGTATTCACTTGACATTAAACTTAAAAATTTTGAACTTAATCTCACTTGACTATATCTTACGTATAAAAGTCTAATTTTTTTCCCTTCAAGGTATCGTGTGAGAAAATTTCTTAACTTCTACGATGATTGCTCATTTTAGATTTATTTGGCAAGCGAAGAACTTCCGCATAAGACATTTCTAAACGCTTTAATCGGGCGACTTCTTCCGATGCTGTACTCGGTTTGTAGTCACTGTATTCGAAAATCTTATTGTGCTGATCACTACTATTACGTGCGTACATATTGTTCGAACGGCTTGTAGTATTAGGTGATTCTTTCGTTTTGTTCGCGTAACTGTATTCATTGCACATCGTACCATTGTGATCGGAAACTGTAAAGGGTCTGAATTTCCTCTTTCCGCCATTGTTCGATTTTAATGGGACAAATTTCGAATTTGTTGTTGGAATCACGTCAGGTGTTGGGGGTCTATCATTATTTGCCAATTTTCTGGCAGCATGCCTCTTTGATGACTTTTTCGTAACGTTAATCGACAGATAATCTAAGCGACTTCCGTTTCGTTGGTTTGTATTCCTACCATTTTTTGTATGCGTACGAACCTCTTTGTTATTTTGTTGGTGTTGCTCGTTTATCGTGTTCGATGAAACTGGTGTTTGTACTCTGTAAAGTGGCTCGGATACAGTAGAGGACAGAGCGGACGAAACAACACTCTGATTGTCATCTGTGGTTTCACTAGGAACGTCTTCTTGAACTAACATCGAGGATTGTGTTTTAGAAGCACTCGTACTCGTGGAATCGTCCAACAAAGGCAGTTTTTCGCCTTCATCTTTAGCCTCTGCTGCTCGCTTAAGAACACGGAATATTTCGCTGAATAAATGTCTGTATTCTGGTGTTTTCCGGAATCTACTCTCAAACGGACTATTGTCATCGTAAATGCTAAACTTGCAATCCTCGCCGTCGGCAATGGAACAAAGGAACGAGCCGGGCCTTCCTTCGGTTTGCGTTGCCTTGTTACTTGTTTCGTCTGAGAAGCCGGAGGAAGATGTTTCCGCTTCGGAGAAATCAGTGGGGGTGGCGGAAAACGCTTTCTTACCGCATATCTCTGTTTTGGCACGTGTACTGTTTCCATTAATGGATTTCGTCGATTCTTGCGGCATCTCTGCCTCTGACGTTGGATTCTGGAAACTATTAAACTCGCCCGACATTTCCAATTCCTCCTGTAACGACATGCAAGCCGCGGGACCGTTATCCTTTCGTCGGTAAGCGGAACGTCTTTGGACTTCTATTAAAGCTTGATACTTTTCCACCAGAACTCTATATGGATTGCTTAGGTCGCTCGACACTCCATCTTTATTAGTTGTTTCCTGTAAGCAACACATTCATATTTTTAAAACAATTACTTTAAAGACAGCCCGTTATTTAAATTATATAGTTGTAAATTTTTCTTTATAGAGATGTGAAAAATTTGTCACTCGAATATGATTTATAATTATGAAAGGTAATGTAACTTTCTTGTAATGAAAAAAAATATAATATAGAAATTAACAATTCTATGTCGTCGGTCGAAAAGGCCAAGTTTCAGCATCATTTTTAAAAATTAGGAAAAATATTTGGACGTAATTTATTTTGCAATTTTTGTCCTTGATGTTTGTCAATAAATAATTGATTTTGAGATCATTATTTTGCCCCGTAATACGTTAAGGCATGAATGAATGAAATTGGTGATGCAGTTAAATTTCTGTGAATATCTTTTGTTCGAAAACTTATCTTCACGTATCCCCTTCGAATTTACGTAGGAAAAGATTATTTTCTTAACGTTATTAAAAATGCAAGGGTGAATGGATAAAAGGCCAAGGAATCGCCAGATTTATAGGATGTTAAATAAAAAAAGCAATATTTGTTGTAAAAGTGTTTTATTTAATATCATATAAATCTGGCACTTACATTGTACAACGCAATTTTCTAACAAATACTTCGACTAGATACACAATTAATATTCGGCCATGGTCAAAGTCGAATAGACAACAATCAGAAAGTGAATACGATGAGGCAAACTTAATAGTTAAAAAAATAAGCAGCATCACCAAATCCAATCTATTTAACTTTTAGACGCTTATCCTTATCACAAACAATTACATATGGAAATAACTTAGTCGCTAACTCGTTAATTTAACGCAGTCTTTTGGTTCTTTGGAAATTAAACCCTTTCCTCTCTTATCGTTTCATAATATGTATACTGGGTGTTTTCGACATCGTGCTACAACCGGTAAGGAGGTGATTCCCCATGTATTGGGTTGGCCAATGAGTAGTTTCGGATTTTTCCGCAAGAGGTCGTTTCGGCTGTTTTTAAAACAAAAGACTATTTATCTAACCTACAAAACGTATGTGTAGTTTAAAAGTTGAGATTCTAATGTGTAATTTAAAAAAAAAAGTTGATTATATTTGGTTAAATCTTTTTAGTGTTTATTTTGATTTAAAGATGAACGAGAAGATGTATTTCCGTGCAATTATGCTTTTTTACTTTCGTAAAGGTAAAAATGTTGTAAAAATAGCAAAAAAGACTTCTGATGTGCATAGTGATGTGAATCAAAAAATGGTGCAAAGATGGTTCAAAAAGTTTCGTGATGAAGATTTTAGTATTGCCGATGATAAACGTTCTGGCAGACCTACTGAGATTGACGACAATCAAATCTCTAATTTTAATGGAAAATAATCCATGTTATACCACCCGAGAGATTTCTGAAATGTTAGGAATATCGAAATCCAGCGTTGAGAACCATTTGCATTAACTTGGTATGATTTTAAAATATGTTTGGGTTCCGCACAATTTAAGCCAAGAAAATTTAGTCGATCGAATTTTAGCTTGTGATTCATTATTAATGTATAATGAGAGCGAACCATTTTTGAAGCGGATTGTAACTGGAGATGAAAAATGCATTGTTCATAATAATGTGGTACGAAAAAGATATTGCAGTAAACCTAATCTAACCTAACCTAACCTAACATAACCTAATATAACCTCGTTAACCTCTCCCAAAGTCGATTTGCACCCCAAGAAGTTCATGTTACGTGTATGGTAAGATTCGAAAAGAGCTCCTGCCACCTAATCAAAGCATTAATTCTAATAAGTATTGTTCACAACTGGATAGACTAAGGGAAAGCATTAAGGAAAAACGATTAAAACATGCCAATAGGGGTAGTTTTTCACAAAGACAACGCGAGGCCACGTATCATTACAGACACGGCAAAAATTGAAAGAGCTGAATTAGGTATATTCTTATTCATCCACTATATTCATCTGATTTAGCACCATTAGATTTCTACTTTATTTCGTTCTTTGTAGAATTCGCTTAATGGAAAACATTTTGATTCTCTAGAGACCTGCGAAATGCATATTTCAAGATTCTTTGCTGAAGAAGATGACAAATTTTGGAATGATGGTATTTCAAAGCTGCCTATAAGATGGCAAACACTATTAACGAAGTTTTTGTAAGATAGAGACGACGTGATCGACGTGCACGTCGGAAAAGAGTAGGGTAGAGTCGCTATAGATGTGCGTGCGCGCGAGTGTGTGTACGAAGAGTGTGGAAATCTAGAATAACGATTACTTAGCGGGAAGAACCGTCTCTGATTAATTCACTCATTAAAACCTATCAGTTTTCTATACTAAAAAGAAATTGTTTTTGTTTTTTACCGAAAATTTCGTCGAAAATAAAGAATAAAATTGTTTCGTATGGAGCTTCGATTTCTAGAAAATTGAGTTTGAATATTCGTTAAGTAATCTGCGTATCGCACAAGTGACCACAGTTTCAAAGACACTGATAATTCTTTGGTAGGAATAACAGTAGGCAAGCCATTGCATTACTAACGGCCTTGATATTGTTTATAAATACAAATAGAAGTAACGGTGGCCAATCAGATTGGGTACACTAAGCAGATTGTGGCCAGTTAAGAGCCTGTGTAACCTTAATATTCTGAACTTAATATTCAAACTCGATTTTCTCGAAAACGGAGTTCCATACGAAAAAATTTTATTCCATATTTTCCACTTACTTTTTTTTACACGAGGAACTAACTTCCTTTCCGGTTGTACCATGATTTCGGAAACACCCATTGTATATCTACAAATTGCAAGAATACCACTAGTTTTCTTAATTATTGCTACAATATAAACATGCAAAAACACATTTCGTCATTTATGCGTGGCAATTTTTCTGGCTCCGAAGTATAGCTTTCGTGGCATTAATTTAATACTATCCTCGTTAAGATATTAAATTCGTCATGCTTAATAATGTAAGTGCCCAGTTATAATTTTCAATTTGCTTTACCTACACCTTATTTTAACCAGACTTATCGAAAAGACATTCAACGGCGCGCTTCTAGCTTTGCGCATCTAAATCTTCATACACATACATGTATACCTTTCAATTATTCTTTTTCCCAATATAATCTATTCAACTTTTCTATGGTATAGGATTATGAACAGTCTAAGCTTCAAGTACCCATAAAATACGAACTAAAAGGGCTACAAAGTAAAAATAAAACGTGTATCTTTGAAGCAATTGTTGATATAAGCATCAATATGATACAGGTTTTGATCTTTATCTAACAAGGACAAAATTATTCGAAGCTCTTGCATGATATCTCTAATTATAATTAACAACGTGATGCGTTTTTAATGGAAAAATTTGACGAAACTTTTCGATGAGTTTTTCAGTCGTTTGGTAAAACGAAATTAAAAAGAAAAAAAAAAGGTTTACTTAGTCGTGTAGATTATAAATAGATACCTAACGATGACGCATTGCGTAAAGTACTTATTCGATTAATTCTCTTTAGTCTTTAATTACGTGAATTAATGTTTAGCGACGTCTATACGTTTTTCTATATCCTAGAGTAACTTTTTATTACCGTTCAATGGTAAAACCTTTCTCAGAACGAAAATCGGAATTCGGAAAGGCTTCAATAATAATGGCACGATGCATTCGTTTTTTATGTACCACACTGTATGAAAGAAAATGAAAATTAACGACGGTGTTTTACATATATACCCGAAAGTAGTCCATAACAGCGAACGATGTTCTTTATTCTCATATTTTGTCTTGGATTTCTTAATCTTTGTTGGGTGTGTTTCCTAAAGCAAATAAAATTAAATTACTTTCGAAGCGAGACTCGTGTAACTTGGAGCCGTTACAATTGTTAAAGGTACACCGTAATATCCGGGGTGTCACGCTGAATTGATGATAAAATCCAAGAGGAAATGATTCTATGTAAAGACAAAGACGTAACCTTTCTTCGAAGCTTCGTGCAAAATTTCTCAAGTAAATCGATACTAACTATTCATTTAATACTTTCGTATAAGTGTAATATGTAGAACACAACTACGTTTGATAGAAAAATGGAAGCCATTTCCAACACACTTTTATTTGTTGAAGAATTGTTAAATAAAAAATATTTTTCTTATTGCTTATCTTTTGTTATCTAATATAATAGATAATAATGTTATTAATGGTAATAAACAATGTTCATTAAATTGAAGTATAGGTTAGATCACGCGTAAATGGATATAGTACTATGCGCTACGATATAGCAGGTCGTAAAATCGGTCGAGAGTCAAAGTAAACATGTTTCGGGTGTCGAGTTAATGGAATCGACAGAAATATGAGTAACTGAAGGAGTATGCCTACCCTGAGGTGTCTAAAAATAGATAGAATTTGGAAATTTATTCATAGGTATCTATTAGATGAAAAGGCTCATCAAGGCATTTTTTCAGAGGATATAAACTTTCAGTTTTTCTCTCCAATTTAAAAAAGGTAAAACTGTTACAAAATGGAGGAGTTATTGTGGAACATCTCGAGTTGTATAAAAATTTTCTCATACCACCATAACTAAAGAAGACAATTAAGCGGCCTGCTTCACGTGGCCCACCCTGTACATACGTGATGAACTTTAAATATTGATTTACTGAAAAAACGAAACTTCATGCGAAAAAATGTTACTCTACACTTCCAATTTATTATTTCACGTAGAATCATCGCCACTCTGGCTGCGCTATCAGTTCGGTAAAGCCTTGTACGTATTTTATTCAAATTCTACGGTCGAAATATCGTTTGGCACGCGAAGCGTATGAAACAAACATCACGCTGAAGGGCAACAAAAAAAAAAAAAAACAACGAAAGCACAGTTAGATAGTTAAGAGGAGAAAACGGTTCATACGTATGTATATTATCCGATGGAACAAGCATAGTGGTAACTGAATAAAAAGATAAGTTACCTGATTAAGCGACTCGGTATCGCGTTGACTATCATTTATCAATGATTCAGCCATGCTAATGTCGTCGTATTCCTCTTGGTTCAACATTACAGAGAGATCATCATGTGTTTTCGTCTCCATCCCACGCAAACATCGGCCGCATAAGTGACCCAATCTAGAAAAATGTCAATTTCCATTGTTGAAATCGCATCGGCTGGCTTATCAAATTTTGACGAAGCTGTTCATTGTTTTACAAACAACATAAAATGTTTTTAGAGTTACGATTCAATTGTCGAAGTGTATGGACCTGTGTTAACCCTTTGACTGCGAACAGTGCTTAAAGGCGTTCAGTGCTAATTTATAGGCGTTCTTCATTTGCTAAGAACAAATGCGTTATCGAATCTGCCATTTCTTTGCACACATCGTACGCTTCTTCTGTGATTTTTACACTGGTATTTTGTATCATTTATGCAAATATATTCGTGACGGTTATTGCTACCTCTGCGTGGCACAGCAAGGAACGTTTTGTTTCCGAGTGTGCCATAGTCATAGGGTGAATAGCACTGGCAACATGATTTTTGTCAGAAAGAATATTCACGCTGATTCTTACGTATTTTTCGATGCTGTATTCGAATCTGCAATCAGATTTTTTCTATCACCCGTAGTTTTTGTGTAACAATTCATCGTATTACTTAATAATAACTGAATCCATGAGTTATGAAATATTAATTAAATAAATTATACCAGTTATTGAACATTAATCTGTGTGTCACGCAAAAACCCTACGTGATGGAAACAAACGAATTGCATATATGAATACAGCATAAAAAATACTATTAAAGTCACATAAGTTAAAACAAAGTAAAATTTTGTAGATCAGTGTAATCGACGTGCTTAGCAACGATCTGTAACGTCTTTGTGTGCTATTCCCAAACAAGTGATAGTGATAATGTTAGTGACAACCTAATTCATTTTACGATAATACCATTCATACTTATCAGTATGTAGCAGATCATTTCCTCATTAAAATAATTTACAAACATCACCCCCTCTCGTTACAAAACTACCTCCCTCTCAAATGGAAGCTCAAAGAAACAGATTGGCACAAATACAAAGATAAAAATTATGAACATCTTCCATACAAGAGGAAACAGAACAGATGAATCCAAGTTAGAATTAATGGAACCCTCTCTAAATCAGCTATTATCCATAATGGGGTACCACGAAGCTTCGTAATGAACGTTACGCTGTTCTCGATAGGAATAAATGACATTGTAAAAGACATAAATCTTACGGTCCAAGCAAATCTGTTCGCAGACGAACTCACACTAACCTATAGTGAAAAAAAAATCTGAATACAGTCACAGAATTATTAGTCAAACGTAAACAATCTCCTGAAATGGTCGAATAAATCTGGTCTCAAACTCTCTCCTCGAAAGACTCAATATATCGTGTTTATAAAGAAACGTAAACAACATCAAAATTCGTCAAAACTCTATATGGAAAATAATGAAATAAAAGAGGTAGATAGTATAAAACTAATTGTACTCATCTTCGACAACAACCTATTCTGGGTTCCACACACGAAGCACCTAAATTATCTTAAAAACTTACCAGGCCCTGATTAGATCCAAAACAGACTACGGTTCAATAATATACAACTCAGCAAACCAATGTACATTAAAACTAATTGAACCGTTACAAAACACAACACTAAGATTAGCTGTTGGAAGGTATCGTACAAGCCCAATTAACGGCATACTATTCAAAGCCAAAGAAACGACACTCGAACAAAGAAGAAAGCTCTTGAGCAACCGAAATATCCTCCACTCCTAGCAATCTCATCTACAACAATATATTTTCTGACAGATACTCACACTTACACATAATAAAGTCAAAGCTACCAGCACCGTTCCACATCAGATTACTGAACGCAGTCACGGAAAAATAGCGCCGTGGACCTAAACCCCTCGAGGTTAACGGTGACCTTGCAGATTCTCTTGAAAATCAAATAGATAGGCTAGATTACAGACCGAAATTTCTAGAAGTAAAGAATAAGTACTCGCGCTACGATAAGATATACACTGATGCATCAGAAACAGGCCAAGAAGTAAGGGTTCGCCATTATCACCTACAACACGGTTATTAAACAACGCCTTACCAAAGCTGCGTCTCTCTTCACACCCAAGGCATACGCAATTCTCGAAGCTCTACAATACATACGCACAAACTCTACAAGTGTAACTAAAGTCACAAAGAATCCTCAAACACATACTCTTTACCTGGGTCCTCTCCTACTAAGGCATAGCTGGTAACGAAAAAGCTGATACTACTGCAAAAGGAGCAATATTTCTTCCACCAATTGGAATCCAAAGACGTATCTTGTACGAAGACCTCGCAAATACAATACAAGCTAACGTAAGAGAAGAATGGACCACGGCCAAAAGAACTGAAACCCTCGACATAGTACAGGACTCTTATCAACTAATACCTAACAACAATACAAGCAGAAAAGAAAAACGATTATGACCAAACTTCGAAGTGGCCATTCCAAAATAGCTCATAAACACCTAATAAAGAAAACGGAACCAGCTTTCTGCAACCTTTGCAACCACGGAATATCGATAAACCATATACTCTACGAGTGCAGAAGATTTCCAGCTCAGCGTTAGAAGTATAAGCTGAGTCCAGGCACGGCCCTGACATCACATGACCTCATAAAAAGTACGATAAACTATTTAAAAGACACCGACTTATCTACTACAAAATCTAAATACCCTAATGTAAAAGAATATCCATTTAAATTCGTCGCTAATGACCTAACAGTAGATGCAACGTAAAACCCGTAATTAAAAGACAATATTTTTAATTTTTTATCTCAACTCAATGATTAATTACAAAATAGATTTATGCAGTGTTTGAATAAGTGATGGATTTAAGGCAGATATTTATAAAAAATGGAATAAGTTTGGAGGCCCTAGGCGCAACATCATTACGAGGCTTCAAAAGAAAGGGTCTTGAATAAATTTGGCGTTTTCAGCGGCCTCTTGTTTTCATATTACGAATTTAACATTTGAAAATAAGTATTTTATTCTGCAACTATAACTAGGCTGTTCTTTGTATTGTTATTCGTGAGGGGTAAGGTTTTAAAATGTGGCCCCAGCTTGCGCCTGCTGCGTCTTGCGGTAAACGCGGCCCCGTAGATTACAGATTAAAAATCTTCGAAATTTTGAAGTTGCAGGAAACCATGAATCTTTGGAAACGTTTTTTTTTTTTAAACGAAACGTACCTTACTTCTTCGAGTGTATTTATTTCCTCTTGAAGACTTTTTACATCCTCTGCTTTACTACGCCAAACAGTCAACTGTTCTTCCAGAGAGTTATTCTCTAGCAGAAGAGTGGTTAATTGTTGCCCAAGCTCGGTAACTTTCTTCTGTTCTCTTGCTCGTTGATTCCGCGCTTCTTGCAACTGCCTCAGCAATTCGGTAACTTCTTCATCGCTTGACAACATTGTCGTTATTTGTCGGACATTCGAGTCTACGGTTGCTTCTTGGAAAGAATTTTGGCCAGATGGGGCAGCGTTCTGAAAAATGTTTTTATAAATAAAATTAAGGATACTGCGTTCAATTACGTTGATTATTAGTAATATTTGCTAATTACGATTTTAACAAGACCTATTAAACAAATATCTTATTAAAATCGGTATTTATCTTAGCTATTCTCTACTTAAAATATTGAAGTATCATTTGAGCCGTTCACAGGCCAACATGGTTACCTCCACTTTTTGAACTTTTTTAAATTTTGGTGCCAAAGCACTTGATCGATGCTTATCTTTTTACATTTAAAATAAATTTTCTTAATAATTAGGTTTAACAGCGCTAAATGACAAAAATGATCATGCCCGTTGAATAATAAATCATTTATTTCAGAAGTGATTAACTCCATACTCTAAAGCAGTGGTTCTCAAACTGGGTGACGCGAAATTTTGAATTGTTCAGTAACTTTTATTTTTTTTTTTTCAAATACGTCTCATCCGTCATATCTTTACTAACTGTAAAAAGTAAAAAATAATAATAATAGGGGTGCCGTGAATTTTGTTTAATGATTTCAGTGTGCCGCCAGACAAAAAAGTTTGAGAACCACTGCTCTAAAGTAAATCGTTGTGATAATGTAATTCAAATGTTTACAAAAATTAGGGTAAATAATTTTTCAACGCAACAGTATAAAAAATATGAATATTAATATTTACATATGACGTATATTACTTCAATTTTCTCTACTTTTTGTTTTGTGGATTTAACCAATTTGGCAAATGGCGGCTCATTTGTCGTAACGTTCCTAACAACTTCAGTGTTTTACAACTCTTTTACATATAATAATAGAAACAATTGATAGACGAACGATATTAACTAGTTTGACGAAGATTATGTGCCTACGTAATATCGTATGTTTTCTCAGATGCAAGGTGCAAATGCATATCCTTCTGCATAATTGCACACGTTTCGCATGATAATTTCTTTTTGCTGTTTTGCATACAAAGATATTATGTACGGTGCAATGAACGAGTTGTTCCATAGTTTACATAAAAATACTAATTAATAGTCATGATTTTGAAAATTCCTTTTTTTCTTTCTTGTTAAACTTCCTACTTGTTTCTTTCGAATTTTCTTCCTCGTTTATTTACACGCAAAATATTTTTTAATTACAAGTATGAAATGTTACATTTCAGCGTTTCAGTTTAATCACGAATTAGAAGTTAAATTCCTTTTCGAAAGGGGCAAGAGAAGATCGTTAGGAAACGTTCAGTTGAATGGAATAGAAATTTTCGTCGGGGAATTGTACGATGAAACTGAGATCTGACTGTTTACAATTTCAGTACTAAACGGAATAACCGATAATTATCGAAGTTATCTAAGATCGGGTAAAATGAATTCTATGAATATTAATACCTGTTGTATGCTACCACCCTGCGTGACTGATGCTTTCCATAAAGCGGTTTGTGTTTGTACGGTACTCGTCGACTGACTGGCAGTTCGTTGCCGAAGTAGACTTTCATGTTGCTCGTTTATCTCGTCGATTTTCTTCTGAAGATCCTCGCACCGCGCTTCCAGGGTCTCGATCGTTAAACACTGGCTATTAACATCACATCACAAAGGTATTTATTAAATAAACAGCAGACGAAAATTAAATACTCTGTATTCTTGTCGTAGCCTATTAATAGCTTTTTTGCCGCCAACGCTTACCGACCGGTAGCCTATTAATAGCTTTTTTTCCGCCAACGCTTACCGACCGGTAGCCTATTAATAGCTTTTTTGCCGCCTACTAATCGGTCAAAGTTTGATTTAACATTTCTATAGGTATAAGAAAAAGCGCATATATTCCCGCGCGATAGCCTAGAATCTAAACAGAGCCGGTGTCGGCGATGTATCTGTGGCTGAGTGAGCGGTCGGAAGTGTGTAGGATGTTCAACCGCTATCGGTCGGTAAAGTGTTAATAATATAAAAAAAAAATTTTAGTTAAGAAACTTGCACATAAAGTACACAGATTGTAAAGAGGCAGAAGATATTTAAAGATATTAAGATGTATTTGTAATAGTTTGTAAAGAAATTTTTATTACAGAAATTGTTCAGCGAAACTATAGAAATTGACTGCAACTGGATAATCGTTAATTTGAAATACCTCTTAATAAGTTTTTTGTCGCCAGTATTCTCGAGTACGAGACGGTGATTGGCGCGTTCCAAATCCTGGATACTAACTTCAAGTTGCTCATAAATTTTCAATCGGGAATCGTTCACTTCTCTCAGGGCAGCTGTCTGTTTTTTCATATACTGAAACAAGATATTATTTCAACATGAACGAATGATCCTAACGATTTCGAACTAATTGTTTTAATTAACGAGAAATTACCTCTATTTCTTGTGCTTGTTCTTCAACGGTGGACTGATGCGTTTTGATGATATTTTCGAGCTCCTTGTTCCTCTCCAGCAGTGTTTTCCCGAGCTCTGCTGCCAATTGTAAATCTGAAATAAATTCCACGTTCATTAGAGATCTCGAAATTCACGAAGTTTAGATTGTTCCACTGTCAAATTACAGTTAGCAATATTTAAATATTTTCAGCAATGTGTCACATATTAACTATTCGATACAAATTTGTTTAAAGATATTTACGTAAATATCGAAATTAATTTACGTAAAGAATACGAAGTTTGAACTTTGTCAAATTTCTTTAGAAATCTGGTTTTAATTTGTCCGGCTATAAAAATGTCCAAGTTACTATTTCGTTAAAATTCAAAGATTTTTGGTGACGTTAGAGTGCGGAGACCCTCACGCCGTTAATATCGTTTCGAAGAATGTATTATTTTCTTCAATTTCGATCACTTAGATTAAATAATATTAATCCGAACCGTAGCTCGTAATTTTAATATTTTGCAAAGCCATTTAATGGTGCAGTGACCACTTTTGCAGTTTACACTTTAAGTTTCTACCGAATGCAAAGCATTTTGTATACTTTTCGTTCTCCAAGTAATGTGTTACTCGATTTCAACCACAATAGTAATAAAAAAAATTCACAGTTTAAAATGTTTAACACTTTACACTTTTCGGAATGTTTCGATAGATGGATTGGGAACTTGGAGTAATTGCTTCACGTGCTTCGCTTGAAATTATAACGGTATAAATAGAATTAGAAGTAAAAAACATGACACTGTAATTTAGTATATAGATCTAGTGAAAAAAAAAGAAAAAATCTTCCGGAGATCTTCGCTCCATTAAAATTCGTTATATCGTTAATATTGTTTCAAAGAGTATCGTTAATTTCGCCAATTTTTACCATACACCACTTTTAGCACAATACTTCTTTAAACGTTCAACTTGAACGACCGAATAATATTAATCTCAGTCGTAACTCATAATTGTGCCGGTGATTATGAAAGTGGCCTGATTTTTCGTTTCGAGAATTTTCCTTCTGGGCGAATTAAAAAATACCGATTTCATTGTGTAATAAAATATTTCACAAAATACTATCGTAATACGAGCCGCTCAGAAGCCAAAGTGACTAACTCCGTCAAGTGAAATTTGCCAAATTTCTTTTTTAATTACGAAGAGTTGAACACCAAGCATGTGCTTCGATACTAACATTGCAAGAATTTCAAAAAGTAGAGTTAATCATTTCAGTTTCCGAATGGCTCGTACAACTCTTATCTGTGAAAAGATCGACTCAACATAAAACAAGCGATAACTTCAAGTTTTTCTAGATTTTTCACTTAGACCACTTTCATAATCACAACCATTCCCGTTATTCAAATCGAAGAACAGTTTTTCAACACTCGAAGTTGATACGGCAGTACTGTTCCGTGTAACGAGACATTCCCCGCCCGCGGTGCAGAATTTCTCAGTTTCTCTCACGGCAGAATCGGCGTGCGTGCGAACATCGGCTCGTTAACTTACGCGTACTTTAATTGCAATAGAATCCAGAAGCGATCTCCTCGATCTACGGCGTTCCCTAATTATCGGCGACGAAACGCGAACAATCGAGAATCGAAAAATAAACGCCGAACACGTTCCAGGTGCAGTTGAACTTGACGCGATGTCGGTTCATAGTATGTAGCAGGGTATTCCCTCGTTCTCGAACTGTCTCGGCCTCCGGTGAGCCCACAGGCAAGGAGCACAGCCGTGTTCTAGCTAGGGCCAAGGACCTTCGTGGCGAGCAAACGAGCCAACTACCGTTTTCTCCTTGCCATCCCCTGCTGTCATTAATGTCTCTCCCGACTCACTTCAATGTGCCACAACAAATGCCATTCATTCGCGACACTAGATTTCCCACATTTTCATCGCGGCCCGCAATTGTTCGAGAATTTTTAACCCTTTGCGCACCGTGGAACTTTTCATAATTATATCATTCACTTCAGGCGGTTATTTAAAAAGGGTAAGAAAAACAGGTTTCCCCTTCTCACGCTGCACGCGGATAGCGAGAAGAGAATTTGCAAAAAATTTCGAACTGAGACAGTTTACGAGAAACTATCAATGCTATCGATATTAGTGTCTTTGGAGTGTAAAGATTCGTATGTTACACTGCGACTGTGCTCGACAAAGAACACAAATATCTTAGAGATATGTAAAGTGGGGTTTGCAACACAGCACAGAATATTCGTCACAATGTTTGACTATTTTATGGAATTTTTTTATGAATTTGCACCGTGTGAGGGATCTCCTACAAGAATTGAACAGTGATTTAGAAGTTGATAAATTATGAATTGCAACTAGTTTGGAGGATGATGTACGCATCTTCAGCGAGATCATTTATTTGATTTTATTAAAAAGCGATTTAGCTGATTTTATCGACGTAAGACACTTTGGAACTTGCATTTAATAACTTTACAGGCAACATTTTTTTTTATTTGTGTATGTTGTTAACCCCTAGAGCGGTCTTCGGGTCTTTTTTGACCCACCGCCTCTTTACATTTTCAGTCATATTTGCTGTTATCAAGTTTACGTTCCTTAACATTATTTTAAACGTTTACTGTCCAGGTTCATATGTCGCGTTGGGGACAAAAATTATTACACATAAGGTCTTAGGTCCTTTTTCACCCAAAAGTCTTAAGTGTACAGTCAAAACGAAGAACGCACTAGGGTTAATATCAAGCTTCTACTAATATTGTACGTTTTCTTCTAACATTAGAGTTTGTATTGCATGCTCGTGATACAGTAAATTTTTAGAGTTTGCAGTCGTCAGATTAGATTATCCGACGTATTTATAAACTTGAGTCCGATTCAAGGAAACCCTGGAACTTCGGCAACTAATTTATCCTCACAGGTTCCGACCAATGTACTCGTTTAATCGCAATAAAATTATGGTGATCGTTACGACGACATTTCCTTACAAACGTAATAAGAATATGAAGCACATCTTTTAAGCGGAAATATTTCTCATAAGCAGACCGTCATCACGCGAGGAACATGCGTTAATCGTCACTTTTACGTCTGAAATGTCAACATTTCCATAAAAAGAAATCAAGGATTATCGACGATCTTGCGTTGAAAAAACGCACACGTTCACGATTTTGAATACACCATTTCTTAACATCACCGCACAAATTTTCATCTCTCTCTATCTCCCTTTATCAAAGACCGATCGAACGGAACGAACCACCGCGCCGGCCAAATTTTTCCTACTTTAATATACCTTCCGGACCTTGAAGACAAGAGAGCTCGATGGAGTAATCCCAACAATCCAAGGAATTCATCTGCGTTTGCGGGTCCCAGACGACGTCTACGCTAGGTCCGCTCATCTTTCCGGACCCAGAGTCCTGACGACGGTTTACTTGAACTTCCAGTTTTTCTACGTTCCCTCGGCGAAGCGGTCTTCACTTTCAATCCTTTAACCGTTCTTGTCACTTTCAACAACGTCGAAACGTCTACTCTCTACCCGCGGGGACAAATTTCTAACAATGAACAAGTGGCGGCAAGAGGAAAGGAAAACAAAAAGAAGGAGGAAGAAGAGGAAGAATATTTTGGGGACCGTTCGGGGGCGTCCATCCAGGTGATACGATTACTCACGCACAAGTGTTACACGCGGAGAAGTCGGGTTATCGACCACAACCGGTTCCACCGAAGGTAGCCGGTCTTCTGTGAATCGCTAGGTACTCGTGGAACGTGTGCAACCCAAACGTCGAATGCCTTATCCACTGCTAACTGAACTCCCTCTCTTCGCCATCATTCCCCTTATCCCCTCTCAAACACAGCCAATTGCTCCGCTCTTTCTTTCTCTTTTCCCTCTCTTTCTTCGAGTTCCTCTCCTTTTTTCACCTGCTGCTGCTGCTGCTGCACAATTCCCTTCTGTGCGACGGCGGTGAGCATCTTTCCTCAGGTACTGCCCCGGGTACTCTCACTCCGCGTGCGCTGGCCACCGTTTCTTCCTTTCCCTTCTTCCCATTCCGTGAATACGTATCTCTTCCCGCCGGGTATATACGCTTGCCTCGATACACGTGCAAAAGTTGTCCCACTTAGGCTACTTTTATTTCAAACCGGCAACTTCGCCCATGGGAATTGTCACGTCGAAGTGACGATTTTTCATTTGTAGATCACTTTGCATCTATAGGCGACACACACGCGTGTACGGTGTGTAGTACTATAGAAAGGAGTATTTTAAACGGGAAGAGGTTCTAAATGGGATTTCCGACAACAGCTTTCGCCAGGTGGATTAAATTGAAAATCAAACTTGTGTGCAGAGTTAGTAGTTTTTATCTAGAGTTAATAGAACGTTTTAAACTTCTTATGCCAATTTGTAGTCGTTACTTTTTTCCTAGAGATGGACTCTCAACTATTTTAGTATGCGCGCGTGCATGTCTGTATATTTATAATTACATTACACAAAAGATTGCAAATGTAGCGATCATCTTGATGATAGAATAAATTAGTAAGGATTAATGATAAGTAACATTAGAAACGGTGAGTTCACCAATTTCGGGAAGAATATTTGTGTGTGGTATTGTGATGCTTTTCAAGATACTTTCGCTCGCGGTATTTCTAATTTTAACGATAAAGCAGTAATTTGCGATTGTTACCGAATTCGTTTCTCTGTTTGTTAAGAGAAAAGCTAATTACAGGGTTCCATTTGAAAAGCTGAAGATTACATTGAAAAATTCAGGAAAAAATCACTTACAAAGATATTGGAAATGGAAGAGATTTTATTTGGCTCGTTAGGTACTAGAAATAATTAAGGTTGCCAGGTTGATGTAACAAAAATTTCGAATCTCTTCCAAACCGATTCGAAAACTAGCAATTTTAAAGAATCTTGAACTTTTTTCAGAATTTCAAAATTATGAAATGCTTTGCAAAAAATATTGTCCATATTGTAAAATATACTACAATTAAATTAACATTAAAAAAGGAAATCTTTTTACATTTTCTCCATGCGAAAGTTTGAATGCAATTAAGTTACAACGAAAGTAATTTTAATTTAGATTTCAAATTTGAACGCTGCTTGTATATTCTACATATTTTTTTTTTTTTAGAATTATAGTTGCATTTCCAGATATTCAGTTCTTCAAAAATTGTTACGTTAATCAGTATCATTAATCCTCATAGAGCTTTTAGGATTTTCTGACCTTGGACAATTGTAGAAACGATTTGAAATTTGACGGTGATTGCAGTGCTTAATCTCTCATTTTCTCGCGCGTTGCGATAACATCAGAGTAAAGAAATTCTCTAGCATTTTTCTTCGTTTCTTCTCGTCAATTTCCAATGTAAAATAGGGTTCGAGATGGTTAAAGAGTACTTATACGTGCAACGTGCACGATAACAGGACAGCGTTATTTTAACACGAAAACACATCGAAATATTTACCAGAAGTATTAAATTTTTATGCATAATAGTCAAGAAGAAGAAATCTACTATAGTACTTACACGTGTATTGAGTAGTAAAAAAAATTCGTAATACAATTGTTTAAACTTTATTATCCGACGTAACGAATAATCGGAATATTCGCGTAATTTTGTTGTATAAGTTTGAACTTGCAAACACTGCGGTGAAAACTGCTGAAAATACAAGTTTAGCATTTGAAGAAGGTTATGCGAATGTTAGAACACTTCAACATTGGTGTGCAAAATTCAAGACTGGCGACTTTTCATTGGAAACGAGCCAAAAGAAGGATCAATTAGGGCTTAGGATGACAAGATTTTAAGAAAAATTATTGAAAACGATCAATGATGAGAAATATGAAATTTTGCATTTCTTCAAACTGCTGAACAATTTTTTTAACAGAGAAATTATTCCGAAATGAAGACACTGTAAAAACAGCGTTCAAAGAATATTTGAATGGAAAGACACGATTTTTCTATATTTGGAAAAACGAAATTACATTAGTTAATCGTTGGAAAAAGTGTACAGAGTCAAATTATTTTGATTAGTAGAGGATTTTTATGCAAATTAGTACTTTCGAGAGTACAGTAAAAAAGGTGGAACTTCGGTAGAAAATTATTTTACCCATCAGGTATTATAAAAATCACTATAATTTGGATATTTTCTATATTTCTTCATACTACGTGCACTCTGTGCAATTTTGCACCTTTCAATTTCCTATAAATGCATAAAAATCCGCAGTCTATTGATTAGATACATGATTTTTTTGAAGAAACACAATGTACCTGTTTAAAGTTTCATTTGAAAAAACGACGTTTCATATGTACCAACCGAATGCGAAAAGTTAGAAAAATGATTTTCAACTTTTGAAGCTTGACTGTTATTTTTTCTACGTTGATAATACTTTTCGATTAATAGCTTAACATAAACGCGATATAACTTCCTCTTAGGCACATGCATACACGCGTTTTCTAAGGAGGACGTGATTTATTGCTCGATTCGGTGACGTAATTATGGATTACGGATGTGAAAATTTTTCTTTATGCAATCGATTATTTGTAATATACGAAACTGATTTTATTTACAAATTTTCGAAGAATGTAGTCCTTCCGCGTAAATGTCCCGACTGCTTTTGCGTTAATGTTGCAATTCTGTTAACTCTGTTGCGTGTTTCGTAATTAAGCGACGATTTTCAAGAAACAATGTTTCACGCTGCCTTTTATCTAATCGTATCTGTTAATATTACACTACGAAATTAGAAAAAAATATTTCTAATCTATACGTGAAAGTAAATTCTACTTCAGTATTTGATAGAAAACATTTGCAGTTACAGAATATATTTATAGGGTGGGCTAGGTAAAACAGGCCCCCTAATTATCTTCTGCAGCTAAGCGTGCCACGAGAAACTTTTTTCACACGAATGTGTATACTTTTTTCTACAGTATGTTGTCGCAGATATTGATATAAACGTGCATAATAATATAACCTTAAAATCGCCTTGGACTCTACAATTTTGAATCGAACGTGAAACTTCCTTTCATTTTTGCCTTTTCTTCAATTAAAAGAAATTGTTCTTCCATCGTATTTACCCTTTGAAATCATTTAAATTACGTACAGAAGTTTTCTCGTACCATAACTAGAGAAGATAATTTGGCACGTGTACGATAGATAACACATAAATTGTATAATATTACGTTACATAGAAGTTGACTCGATGTTCTATTTCACTTTACCTCCTTCAATTTCAAAAGTGAATATTTGGCGAAGAAAACTAAACTTCCTATCTTCAAATTCGTTATTTATGTAATCATCTAACAATCGTGATGATTTTCATTGGAAACATTGTTGGGCTTACTCGCGCCTTTAAATCTTTCTCCAGTGAAAGTCATGCTGTATAACGAAGCCCGGTGAATTTAATGATAATGGGACGACGTGTTGACTCTTTGTCCATGTCGTAACTTCACAAACCCCATTCACACGAAGCACTTATTTCGTACGTCTTCATTTATGCAATTCTGTCGCAACTGATACGATATTGTTAGATCTGTCATCAAGAAGTAATTTACGCGATAAGCTCGAGCCTATGACTTGAAATTGGAACGATCAATTTAAACGAAGATTTCCAGGTTATAAATGCAGGAAATATGATTAAATCTAATTATCGATGTTTCGATGATTTGTATACTTGAAATATATAGATTTTCATTACTTTTAAAACACTTCTACTACAATGAAATTTTTATACACGTTTCGTTTCTGTTTCGATAGTTGAAAGATTTTTTAGGTTATAGTACCTACGCGATACTCACTTTGCACAAAATAAATATCAATGTATCTAAATAAATGTAAATAAATGTATATAACGATTGGGTGTTATGTCGAAATTTTGCGATAAAAGAAATATCGATCGAAAGATTAAAGAACAAGTTCAAATTTCAATTTCTCGCGTTTATCTTTCGCTTTTTCTTTTAATATCTATTCTTCACAGAGAACGTTAGTTCTCGTTAAAGTAGCAAAATCGATTTTAATTCTCGTCATTAACCATTTGACAGTTAAAGGGAAGTGGAGGCGATTTAAGTTCGTTTATTGCACACATTGAAGGTTCTTATACAGTTGAAAATAGAAACTAGAAAATTTAAGGTAATTCTCAAGTGATGTCCACCTCGTCAGAATTTATTTAGCGTCGTATAATTTTAACAGAGAAAACAGTAAGTAAATAATATTTGCATTATTATACTTAGAAGTGTAACATTTGCCATTGGCACAAAGGAAAATACTTTACATTCATTTTTTTAATAATTAAACAAATATAAATATAAACAGATATTTTCCATTATGGGAAACATATTTCGAGTAACGTCTTTTCTACTTGAAAATTTATTTCATCCCGTTTCTGTTACACTATTCTCTTTCCTTAGGTCAATTGTTAACAAACGAATGTAAATATTCCTAAATAAAGTAACGCGAATATTATTCATCTACTACCTTCTCTGCTGAAATGACACACAACGCTAAATAAATTCTGACTAGGTCTACGGAGACTTTTTTCACTGACAATGTGCGTAGACTTATTTTTCTACAATACTATGTAATCGTACATCTGTTTACGTTTTCATTATTAAATCAAAATCGATAGGTAGCCTGTTTCCATGACAGACTACTCGATAAGATTGCCGAGATAACGTTAAAAAAATCCCGACAACGGTTCTGATCTGTTGTTAGCCCTGTTACGAACATGAAATCGAATTGTATTGACAAGAGATAACGCACGCTGCAGGCGAATGGGTCGTACA